AAAAAAAGAAATGTTTTTATATTAAAATTAATAAATAAATAAATAAAATAAAATGCTAAATAGGTCCAATTCTATATTTCAGAGTAAAATAGATACTATATAAAAGTAATGGAAAGCAGATATAGTTAAGTATTTAGAATACTATAAGTAGATTGTTCACATTTCAAGAAAGGTAGAATCACCAGAATAAAAATCAGAATCCATTGTTATCACCAGAGGTTTTGTTTTTTTTTTTCCAACTAGAACATCTGGCAGAGAGTATCCCCATATGATTCCTCATCAAAGCATTCATTTAAAAAGAAATTTTTCCACTCCTCTCAACTCAGATTTTCATTTTTTGCAGTCAGGCTTTGTTTTTTCACCTCTTGTTCTAATTCAAGGTTTTGAATCCAAGGAAATGGTTTATAACACAGGCGATTCCCTTTCTTCCTGCTCTTACAGAAAACATATATGTGGACCGCCCCAGGAATATCATCTGCCAATGGATTTCTGGATTTCTTATCTCTCCATTGTGTTAGATTTCCCCCTCTACACTCCCTGCATCATGGTTGATTTAGTATCCACACTAACCTATTACTAAACATCTACACCCACAGCAAGAAACAAGACATTTCTACCCCTCTTCAAAAATAATTTTGAGGGGTGCCTGGGTGGCTCAGTTGGTTAAGTGACCGACTCTTGATTTTGGCTCAGGTCATGACTGAATGTAGATTGATGAGTTTAAGCCCACATTGGGCTCTTAACTGACAGTGCTGAGCCTGCTTACGATTCTCTCTCCCTGCCCCTCCCCTACTTGTGCGCATGCACGCTTGTCTCTCTCTCAAAATAAGTGAACTTAAAAAATTGGTAATTTTGAAATATCTCCCAGTTTTAGTCTGGGAAACACATTACTCTAATGGTCATACGTTTGCCTAAATGGAAGCTGTATAAAATTATAATTTTCAGAATAGTGTTTTATAAATAATACTGATTAAAATATTAAAAAAAGAACTTATGTACTTTTTTTTAAGTTTATTTATTTTGAGAGAGAGAGAGAGAGAGAGAGAGAGAGAGAGAGAGAGAGAGACCATGAGTGGGGGAGGGGCAGAGAGAGACGGAGACAGAGAATCCCAAGCAGGCTCTGCATTGTCTGCACGGAGCCTAACATGGGGCTCGGATCCATAAACCCTGACATCATGACCTGAGCAGAAACCAAGAGTCAGATGCTTAACTGATTGAACCACCCAGGCACCCTAGAACTTATGCCCTTTTCAAAAATGATATCTAAGGAAGCTCAGTATTCTTAGGTATTAATGTTTTTGAGTTTGTAAAAGCTTCTTTTTCTTTATATGTATTAGCAAGTACAAAATAAAGAGAATTTTATATATAAAGACTTGGATGATAGCTTATTAATACTGAAACTATCTGAAGAAAGCATATAATTCATTTAGATATTGGTTTTCATAATTATGACTTCTAGAATATTATACATTTTCATATAATTTTTTTTTGCATAAATGATTGAAATTGAGAGACTCACATCTTAGCCTAATAGTTTTAGAGGAATCCAGAAAAGTGATATATTATACTTAAAAAACAGAAACCTTTGGTATAGTCTTTTATTTTGTTGAAACCATTTACTGGCGCTAGATTGGCTCATACTCTTAAAATACGAAAATGGATTATTTAAATCTGCAAACCAGTTGATAGCATTCTCTAGGGTTATTATCTCTGAACATCCTCATCCACATAATATTTATCATGTTTACCAGAACCATCATGATGGTTCCAAATGCTGCCAGACTGTTATACTAGGTGAGGAGAGCATGCTGGGAAAGAAAGGGGAAGGACACTGCAAATGGCAAGATTTCATTCTTTTTGATCCTACCATAGTTTTCATTTATTTTACTTTTAATTTTTTTAGTGTTTGTTTACTTTTTGAGAGTGAGTGAGCATGAGTGGGGGAGGGGCAGAGAGAGGGAGACACAGAATCTCCTGAAGCAGGCTCCAGGTGCTGAGATGTCAGCACAGAGCCTGACACAGGGCTTGAACCCATAAACTGTGAGATCAAGACTGAGCCGAAGTCAGACGCTTTACCGACTGAGCCATCCAGGCCCTCCCCTACCATAGCTTTTAAAAAGTCAACTGCCTTAGAATTTAGAGCACTCCCTCAAGATAGTAAAGGATCTTACAAGTGACGTTAAAGGGCTTCAAAAAATGAAACATGCTAAAAACAGGGAACCTGTAAGCAAAAACTATTTGTTGCAAATTACATGATAAAAGAATAAGTGTTCAAGACCCATGTAAACATGCCTGTCTTATAAGATGTAGCACTGTCCAATTAACTGGCTATCAACTAACTGCTATTATCCATGGCAATAAATTTGGCTTTAAATGGGTGGTTGTTGGAATAAGTGTTTTCTCTTTCTTCTACATATTTATTCTCAGAAGAGAACACATAGATAAATAAAGTGCGATATATTAGCTGATCTTTAGAATTTTCCCAGTATTTTTATGTAGTTCATGCCTTCAGTTTTCTGTACATATACTGAGAGAAAAAAGTGTTTTTGGCTTTCAAAAGGATGATATTATTTGTTTGTTTTTAAACAGTAAAGAAAATTGGGTGCTATACCTGAAGACCTTCTCTCACTGCTTCCAGAATGTAAGGAACCAAAGAATAGTTCCAGAGATCCATGAACCAAACTCTAGAAGCTTCTACATCCATAGGGCAAGGAAGGAAAAGTCGGGGACCTAAGAAGAAGAAAACAAACCATTTTTGAGAAGCATTACATTTAACAACCTGAACACATAAATATTCAGACATCATTTTTTGGGAAGTAATAATATGCCTTGCAGGATTCTTAAGAAATTATAATCTTGCCCAGCTTGATTATTATCAAAGTACATTTTACTGATGACTCACTCTTCTGAATTCCCCTTCCTTTGACCCTAAAATCTTAATCTAAAATATAATATATTAGAGTTGGAGAAACCTTACATGTCATAATCCAAACCCCATGCCCCATTTTACAGATAATGAAACTGAGCTGAAATAAACTGCCAAATATAAAATATGTCATTATTTGCAGAAACGGGACTCAGCTTTGGTCTTCTGATCTCAAATGTTAAATTCTTCTTCTCATTTACATTGTATCTTATTGACTGCATCTTTATGATCCATCAGTATGGGAAAGAGACTTTTATACATGCAATTTAAGGAGGAATAGAAAAATAAACATCTTTATGTCAACTAACAGGAAGTAATTCAGTTTTATCTCAATGAAAAATATAAAACAACTTCAATTATCCATAAAACACCTAAAGTGTTTCTAACTAAAATCTTCTCTCACAACTATATTTGATGTGAATCACTGATTAAAATTTGTTTTTAGGGGTGGCTGGGTGGCTCAGTCGGTTAAGTGGCTGTCTTCGGCTCAGGTCATGATCTTGCAGTCCATGAGTTCAAGTCCCGCGTCAGGCTCTGTGCTGATAGCTCAGAGCCTGGAGCCTGCTTCTGTTTCTGTGTCTTCCTCTCTTTCTGCCCCCCCCCCCATTCATGCTCTCTCTCTCTCTCTCTCTCTCTCTCTCTGCCTTTCAAAAATGAATAAATGTTAAAAAAAATTTTAAATAAAAAAATAAAATAAAATTTGTTTTTAGCATAAGAAAGGACTTGAAACAGATAACAATTTATTTCAAATGATTATCTGATTTTTAAATATTTGTCTATGTTAAACTTATTTGATTTCAGTCAAATCTTAGGAAACCATAATTGTCAGCCAAAATGAATGTAATCAGAGATATAAAGCTTACAAGAAGGCAAACTTTCAGAAGGGAAAGAGAAAACTTAAATCTTTGGAAGCCTGAAAAAATTAGCTTCACTTGTTATTTTCTACCATCCAATCTGGCCATCTTCAGCACCGTACTCTTAGTTCCTGGAAAATGGCATATTGCAATTTTGGAACTCACCAATGGTAACATCAGAAGAACTGTGTGTTTCCAAAAAACTGTTGAGATGATGCCATGTCTTAGGAATCCAATCTATAATTTTGACTAAGTCGTTATTGCGTATATTCCTTTCAATTTCTATCTCTATCAGTTTTCTTCGAAGATATCTGCCTAAAAATCCTTTCACTGGTTCTGTGTGGTTTGCGCATAGCACCCACCTACAAAAAGGAAAAAAAATCATAAATCTTTAAATAAATTAAGTTTTAAGCCCACAGCATTCTCTTTCCAATTAAAATTAAGAATGTTCCTATTTTAATTGGTGGCTCACTTTAATGCTCAAAGGGGTTACAGATCCATTAGCATTAGAGGCATATAAAGCAACTAACTTTTCTTTTTGAGCTAAAGGGAAGCTCTTGTGTGTCAGAAGTGAGTGGGAGTATACACGCTGAGTCGTCTTCTGTAGGAGAATCACAAATCCTGAAATAGGAACTCTCTTCACATTCCTCACACTTAGAAGAAAAATGCTCTACTTTAGCTGGTGACAATGCGAGCAGGACAAACATTTCTTTCCTTTTCTTTTCTCTCTCTCTCTCTCTTGTTTTTAAAGAAACACTTCTGATTATGGTTGAGGATTACAAAACGTCTGCTCGAGAAAGAATGTCAGAAGAAGTGAGAATTATTTTCACACCACAGGTCACCATGGGCAGGAGTTGTCAATGTACAAATGGAAGAACACTAACCAAAAGCAAAGAGAAAGAGATGCTACAAAAAAATAAAATAAATAATAATAACAAAAGTAAAACATTCGGTTTATCTTTACCTGAAATTGTGATGCAACTCTAGATTTGGTGATGAAGAAACTCCCTGATTCATTGTTCCAATAATATATGGACTGGAAAATAAAATAAAATGTGTGGATGTACTGAAGGTAAAAGAGATTAGTACATTAAAATTGCCTTAAGAAAAAATTTAGGTAAATATGGATTATTCCATTTTAACATTAGGCTTTAAAAGGGTAATACTGTCATGTTAGGTTGAAAAATAACAAAGAACATTGAGCGGAAATTTGGATTTGGGAGTCTAATTTCAGGTCTGGCATCCTAGGAGAATTCTTGTACCTTTCTGAGTCTGAGTTTACTCATCTATAAGATAAAAAGGTTAGATAGAATAATCACAGTAGCCTCATTTCACTAAGATATCTTATGGCTCTTACGATTATAATCAAATGCATTAATTTTTCCTTTTTTTATTATTTCATAGATATTTTAAAGTTTCTTAATAACATGAGAAAACTTGCATTCTTGTTTCAGTGCTTATCTTATGCTGATCTATTTTTAGCATTTAAAAAATCTCTAGCAGAGATTAATTGGGATATTTGCACCATTAAAACTAATATTTAGCTTGCTCATGTATACCCTTTCTTTAGAGGCCATACTATAGTGAATCTTTAGTGGGTTTTCAGATTTTTTTATATCCGACTTCAACCTTTTACTTTCAGAGTAAATAGTTAAAAATTAGACTCATTAATGGAAAGAGATATATCTGAATGCATTAAGTTTATCTTTATGGGAAGGATGAATTGAAACTTTGATATAGAGTAAAAATGAAACCAGAGCCCTAAAGCTTCATTTTAGTTCTTCATTTCCTTGATCCATTCTGTCATGGATACTGGTCTCCCAGACCTTCAGCATATCTGTAGAAGCTAACACCATCAAGTAAAACATGTTTCCATAAAAGTTGCCTGGGACTAAGTGTTGAAGGAATAAACAGACGTTTGAAAAAATGCACAGGGAGTTTTTAAAAATGCTTTATAATATTAATGAAGCTTCTCACATTAATAGCATCCACTGAAAACCATGGGTTTTAAAAGGTGTAAAGGCATAAGAAAGCAAATTTTATTATCATTTCATCATTCAAACCTTTCATAAGCATACCATTTGTTGTATTTACAGTTGAGAAAACCATTGAAGATATCACTCAAAGAGCCCACATGATGAAGATTATCAAGAATTATTACAACAGGGAGTTCTACACCATTATTATCAGCACTGCACTGTTCAGCCAGGTTAGCTAGATACTGTTGCAACTCCTTGAAAAAAAAAAAAGAAAACAAATATTAATGATAAATTTATATCAGTGGTAAGCAATTCATCGTTTAGGAAGAGCACACTTTGTCTTCCATCCAGTATCTTTTAAAAACCCATAGGTCATTCCAGTGATATAAAACTTTATTCTACAAAACAAAAAAACATATGATGCTGAAAGGATATATTTTATAAAGAAACGAGCAAAGAGAAAAGCCAATACACAACGCCTGCAGCAAATATAAAACTTTAAACACAAAAGCATGTTTTCCAGTTGTTGTCTCCCCTTAAGAAAGAGCAAAACAAACAAACAAACAAACAAATAAATAAGAGTGAGGGAGAGAGAGAGAGAATTCTGGATATGAACTCTTACAATAAACCACAAACATCAAGACAAATACCATTCTTGCTTTTGGTATTAAAATGATAAAAGTGGATTTAAGCAAACCTTGTAATTTCAAAGCTAGAATAAATCCAAAATGGCACAGCTAAGTTTGTGCTAATACTTCAACTATTTTAATTCCAATTTATTTTGATAGGATGCATGAAAGCACCGCCCCAGGACTTAGCCAAAAGTGTGGTTATTTACTTATCTATAATCTGCATGAAACTTCCGTGATTTTAAACAAAGACAAAAATTTTTATATTTCACTGGGTCACTTGACATCAGCATTTCTTCAACTTCTTGAGTTTTTTAACAGGTATTATTCCTTTCTGATAGCTTTTAATCTAAATATGATAACCGGTTTACTGTTTGACTGCTCTCACAGATGGGTAGACCAGGAACATAATTAGTTTTCTTAGAATTATCCTAATCAGTAAGAGCATTTCCATAATATTTGCATATTTACAATGACATTTTCAATTTGTAGATCTTGCTCAGGGTTAAAAAACAATTCCATGATTCCAATTTTTGCCTGCCAGTAAATATCTGAACTCCTCACCCTAGATGCCACCTCTCTCTGTCTGTAATACCATTTTCAGAACTAAAAGCAGAAAAGGATAAGGGCACCCGGGGGGCTGAGTCAGTTAAGTGTCCAACTCTTGATTTTGGGTCAGGTCTTGATCTTATGGTTTGTAAGTTGAAGGCCCAGATTGGGCTTTGTGCTGACGGTGTGGAGCCTGCTTGGGATTCTGTCTCCCTCTCTCTCTGTCCCTCCCCCACTTGCTCTCTATTTCTCTCAAAATAAATAAAAATAAACTTGAAAAGAAAGGAGAAAAGGCTACAAGCAATGGCCAGGATTCTGAGGCATTTAGTAATATATTCATTTAAGTTTAAATATAAAATTTGTTAGGAAAACTAATGCACTATTAATCTTATATTGAGCCAATCACATTGAATAAATATTGCCTAAATCAGAGAATACAGAAAAAAATGTTCAAACTAATGAATGGTCTGGACAATTTCATTTACCTTAAAAGACAAAAATGGAATTTATATCAATAATCTAACTATATTAAGTCATTCATTGATTTATAAAATATTGACTGCCTCTCTATTACGTTCTTAGTCCTAGACAAACCCCTGGAGTATACAAAAATAATGAATCACTGCTCAAGTTAGTTTAACATGAATTATGAACTGAATCAAGTACTTTTTTGAGCATAGAGGTTAAAAAAGTCTTCCCTCGTAGGCTTTAAGAATGTCACGTTAGGTACTAAAATTTAAATATGATAAATCATTTGAAAACAAGGTACTAGTGTATTAGGAGCTGTGAGAGGTCAGGGGAGGAGATTTTGCCTAGGTAGTGGGTATCAAGGAAAACCTTCCAGAAGAGGTATGCTGGAACTTGGGTGGTAGAAACAGCCACAACTAATAAATTCACAAAATGAAATGTAAAACATCCCATGAGAAAGGTTAAAGGAGGGATGTGGCCTGTAGAAGGAAAAAGGATTAATTCCAACTGGGGGATCCTGGTGGACTCCAGAGCAAGGTAGAATTCGAGATGAATTTTGAACAATGAATGGGCTTCCAAATGAAAAGTATGTAGTTAATCTATCCTTTCAAAATAGCTTTAGCAAGCACCTATTATGTTCCAGGTACTCTGGCACTAAGGATTCCAAGATAATCTCTGCATTCCAGGAATTCAGAGTTGATAAGCAGAAAGGCAGGTCAACAAGTAAATCAAAAACACAGTGTGGTTAACGAAATGCACAAAACACTACAGGGACATTTAAGAGAGGCACCTGATCCAGGCTTGTTGTTCGGGAAACAACAGGGTACATGGGGACAAATTATTGAAGTCCAAATAATAAGGAGTGAAAGCTGGACGGTATGAGCATATGATGTGCTTGGGGAAATAAGTGTTCTGTTGTTGCAAGAGAAATGGTACATGGTACTGATGGTTGCAATAAAAAAGAAAATAGAAAAACTTTGAGTCTGTGCAGAAAAATTTGGATCTTACTATATAAACAAATGAGAACCATTGACATGTTCTTTTCAGTAGGGAAAGGGCAGTTTATTTATCAAAGGAAACACAAATATGAAGGAGATGATGATTAATTAGAAATGGGAAAAACACTCAAGAGCCTATTGCCTACAATAGAGGGTTACACATGTGTGTGTATAAAAACAAAACAAAACAAATTCACAGTAAAAATATATCAAAAAAGCATACACATAAGATTTTGTTCAGAGCATGTAAACCTTACTTGTACTGCTGGGAAAGACTTCCTGGTAGTAGTATTATTTGATATTAACCTTTTATTTTTAATATTAGGTAATGTTTTGATACTTAAAAAGTGGAAGAAGAGCTTTCCAATTAGAGGGAGAAGAATAATCAAAGGCCGAAGTGCACGCGCGCGCGCGCACACACACACACACACACACACACACACACACACACACACACGTAGTATCCAAGCAGGAAAGAACTAGTAGAATATGTTTTGCGTATATGAATAATGGTAAGTAAATTGGAAAGAAGAGTTTGCAACCCTGAATGATTTGAAAGGTTACCGGACTTTTCCCGTCAGCAACAAAGAAACATTGAATGTTTGTCTGGGGTTCTGAGCAATGTAGCCAGGATCATGATTTCAAAGTATGGTAAGTATAGTGTAAAGGAGGAACAGAAACCAGTCAAAGAGAATAACAAAATTGTTGAAGCCAAGAGACACTATGGGATTCAGTAGGGATAGTAGAAGTGTGGGAAGATTTTTGATCTAGTATGGAAAGCAGTGGGAAAACATTGCAGGATTTTAATGCAGTCAGACTTCAACAGTGGAAAAATATTCTGTTTTCCATGAGGTGAAGGGATAAATGCATAAAGAGAAAAGGAAAATTTAAAAAAAAATTTTTTTTCAACGTTTATTTATTTTTGGGACAGAGACAGAGCATGAACGGGGGAGGGGCAGAGAGAGAGGGAGACACAGAATCGGAAGCAGGCTCCAGGCTCTGAGCCATCAGCCCAGAGCCTGACGCGGGGCTCGAACTCCCGGACCGCGAGATCGTACCTGGCTGAAGTCGGACGCTTAACCGACTGCGCCACCCAGGCGCCCCGAGAAAAGGAAAATTTAATAGAACTTTTGAATCAAGCAATTAGAAGACAATTGCAGTCATCCAAGTGATAAGTGTTAATTTGGGTGGGAGGGTGGTGGTACTGGAGATGGATGGAAAAAGATGGATTTAATATTTTTCAGAGCTGAAACTGGGTTTTCTAAATATGTGCACCTCGTATGCTGATAGAAACATATGTGTAAGCTAAGGGAAAGGCCTACTATTTGGAAGAGTCGGCATGGCTAACAGTGTCCAACTGGAGTCAACACAAGTTGAAACCAGGAGAGTCATCCAGGGGAAAACAAATGGGAGATAATAGAATGTTGGGGTATATTTTCATTTACTGGTAGGTGAAGGAAAACAGTCAGTGAACGAGACTTTTAAAGAGCTTACTAGAGGGAAAGAAGAAAACCCGGAGAGAATTATAAATCATGAAAATTAGAGGGATTTCTAGAAAGGGAAGATTACCTACAGCAATTTGCTATACATCAGCAAAAACCAGAGAGAGAGAAAAGATGCCAAGGGCAATGAACTTGGTAATTAAGACATCACTGAGTGATTTTGGAAAAGAAGGGCCATTAGATTCTATTATAATTCTCTCATCTTGAGAAAGGTAGTAGACCTCTTTGGGTACCTAATGAAAGCTGTAGGCCAGTTGCGAGTGGAAATACGGATACACAAATAATTTTGTCATATAACTTAAAAGAGTTTTTCTCAGACCCCTTTGAAATCACTTTATGATCCCCGCTGTAGCTTAATTGGTTTTAAATGTTAGATTGAAGTATTGATGCATTAGCATTAAAAGTTTCATGTCCAAGATCTAATTAAGCAAAGGAAAACAGGTATATCTACCAGATGGACACTGATAATGAGATGAATCTCATACTTTGAAAATACACATGGAAACCTGCAGTTATATAAAACTGTTGATCATTGCTTTCTCTGGTTTTGACTCCAGACACATCAAAAATGAATCTGCCAAGTCCAGTTTTCTGATCTTTTCCTACCTAACATTCCAAGTGTTCTCAGCTGGCCACGTATTATTTACTAAATCCATCTCTAGCCTTCTGGGCCCGCTACATCAAATGTCACAAAGTGTAATTGTTTATGTGTACCGCTCTCGATCAAAACATTCCAGCTGGCAGTTTGAGGGAGGGCTGGGACAATGGGAAGAGGACAGAATGTAAGATGCAGAGGTACCGAACACATGAAAAGATTTTTTCCATTTCATGGTTTTATTGTTCGATTTTTTTTAATCCGCAAGTGCCTTTTGGCTTTGTCTCTTCCGTGTTATCTGCAGCAAAGCATAATGCACGTCAGCCATTACACGGCTTCATTTTTCAGAGATGGGGTCTATTATTTCATGCCTCATTCACACGTTACTTTAGTAACTCCACACTGCTAGCAGCTGTCCCTCAGTCTCAGCTAGTCATCCCTAGTCCTTTATAGCCGTCCCACCACCCCCACCTCACAAAAAAGCAAAGCAAAGCAAACAAAAACCACTGTGGA